GGCAAGACTGTGGATAACAGTAATCTCACTGTGGATTTCCTCTTCTGGCTCCTCCACATGATCTCTTGTAGGTATTTTTCCTGTGAGCAAAAACACTTGTAGACTTCAGTATGCTGAGAAGGCACAAACAAGAAGCTTCTTTTGCACCCAGGCACTGAATGGAACCATCAAGGAGCTAGCAGTCTTTCTAAGTGTCAACAGGGAGAGAATTAAGGTTTACACAGACGTGTTTTAAGTACAGACCTGATTCACTTAGGAAGAGTATGAATTGCAAAGTTAATTGTGAAAAGTGCAAAGCGAATAATGGAAGTTCCCACTCCCGATAAAATAGCAGAATAAGGCCTGCAGGCACTTGGGAGGGAGTAGGGGGTGTCTGGGGCAAGAGGACTTCGGCAGCCCCCGGGGAAGAGGAGCCAGGACCTGCCCTACCTCTGTGTGGTGAGGTTCCACGGGTCTCCCAGCCAGCCACCACCATCCCCCATCAGCCCCTTTCCTCGGAAACGGCCCGATTTTCTGGGGGGTACGGTGGGCGTGTGCCGTGCCCAGTCGAGTGGGGTGATTTATGACCAGGCCTGCGGGCAAAGGAAATCTCTCACGGAAGGGAAGGGCACCCGAGACCTGCATCTGCAGGGCAATGCCCCCTCCTGAGCCTGCAGTCAGCCTTCTAGCCTTTGGGTGAGCCCGCAGGCCGCTCCCCGTCTCCGGGGAAAGAGAGGTCCCGCGCCTCTGCCTGCAGGGGCCAGGGAGGGAAACGCGAGTGCCCGGCATGGTTTGAGGGTGGTGGGGTCTCGGCCTCGCCTGTGCTCCCCCGGGGCCGGGTAGGCGGCAGTGCACGCTCCCCTTCGCGGGCACAGTTCCCGTCCCCAGCGCGGCGGCCGCCCGCCCCTGCCGTTAATGAGATTCTTTGAAATCCGAAAAAGTGAATTTTAATGTTACATCCTTATCTTTGGAGGAGCGGGGGGGGCTCTCTCTGCTTGTTAAATAATCAGCGGCTGAGCCCCTGAAAAGAACGGCGTTGCACCCTTCTTGCTGAATGCGCTTCTTAGTGCTTATAACGCCAAGGCCTTTTGATGTCTCACAATGCTTGTTACGCCCAAAGATTGTCTCTTTGGACAGATCTACAACGCTTGGCTTCATGTTTGGAAGTTAAATGGACAGCGAGGTTGTTGAAACTCCCACGCTTTAAGCCCGCGCAGGCACTCGGTGCGCTCCCCCGCTTCTTGCCGTAGAGACGGAGGCGGCGCGGCTGCAGGGCTGCAAGGACAGGGCTGCCGCTCCAGTCCGGGCTCGGGGCGGAGGGGGGAAAAGACAGCCCAGCCCAAACTTTTCCTTCCTTTTCTTCTCTTCATTTTATTCTTTGGCAGCCTTAAAATGGGAGCTCTGTGCAAAGCGTGCGCCCTGTGTATGTAGCTTGTGTCTTGAAGTCGCTGGCAATGTTGCTGCTCCATGAAATCAAAATTTATGATTATTCAAATGTTGGGGACTGTGAAAAGAGAGGAAGAAAGAGAGAAAATTAATATTGCAGCTGTTCTTCTGATTAATGAGAGATAATTGCTCATGAAAAGTCACCCCTGTGGCATTTTGTTGTCTCCTGGATCTTTGTTCTTTTCCACTATTATTGAGGACTTTCTTGAAGACTAAGCGGTTCTTTTCAATTTTTGGTATTCAGAAAGTGTTGCTTGGTTACAGATAAAGGAGAAATCTCGGGCTATATTGGGTAAGATGTGCCACAGACAGCAATATCACAATGCCACTTTCAGAAAAGGATGGATACAAGTTAACGATGCGCTTTCAATAAAACATTAATAGACTTGTTCACGCTTTTATAATGACCTCCTTAATGGGAGCTGGGGGCAACTCCTGTCTTTTGCTTGCCTTCACAACTTCGAGATGGCCGATCGCTTTGGAAACTAATAGCAAATCGATGTTAGCTTAGGGAATAAATGTGGTTACAGCGCAGAGGCCCGCGGCCCCTTGCTTACCCGCGTAGGGCTCTATTTCGAGCGCAGCTTTCCCGCCCGGGACCTGACCCAGCCAGGGCCCATCCCGCCCAGTTCCGCCGCCTGTCACCCCACTGGAGTGCTTGCGGCCACGGCTGCCCCGCACAGGTGGCTTTGCGGGTTGTTTTGGGGTGATTGTGCGGGTCGAAACATGTCCTTGGGCTGCGGCGCCTTGCAGAGAGGCAGCTTCTCCCGTGAGCTCCGCGGAGATGTGCGCCTGGGAGCCGGGCTCTCTCCGGGCGGGCATGGCTTTTTTTTCTGCCGTGAGCTGCTGGGGTTGGGGGAGGGAAGGGAAAGAGTTGCTTTTGTCATTTAAGCCGTGAATCTCTTCTACATAAAGGTGTTGGAGACATCTGGAAGAAAAGAGGGACCAGCACCCAGTCCTGCGGTCGGCGGACCAGGGGAGCGGCTCTGATGTTCTTTTTGAGCTGCTCCACTTTCAAAAGGGGGCAATTTCGTTACATTCTCATTTGTTACACTGTCTTGAACTAAAGGCAGACAAAGCTATACTCTGTCACCCCGAGCAAAATGAAGGGAATCAAAGGATTTTCCCTTAAAAGGACTAATTTTCTCCTTGAATTATGAAAGTAATGGCTAGGTAACAGCCTGTGCTCTGTACCCAACTGCTTAATACCTTCTAAATCCTTCCACGTGGCTCTCCCAGTCGTAGCAATTAGAGCTCATTATAGGCTCATAAGAGCTCTCATTTCGGGGATTACTTAATGGACAATGAAATTTTATCGGACAGAATTATTGAAAAATAAAATTGTAACGAGGCCGATGTGATGTGGGCGCACGCCTTGCATCATTCCGCCTGGTTTGGGATATCTTTGCTTTCCAATGACTTCTTTTCTTGCTCTGGCTTTCAGGGGTGGGTTTTTCTTTGTGGGGTTGGGTGGTTGGTTTTTTTTCTTCCCTTTTTTTTTCTCTACTCTCTTTTATCACTGCATTTGGTTTATTATAACAATTACAGATTGCAGTTTTGATTCGACTCTTGCTCTGTCTGCTTTCCCTTACGACAGCCGCCTCCCCAGATCCACTCTTTCACTGCAGATAGTTTTCTCTACTGAGGTCGGTGGAGTTGTTTTTTTATTATTCTTTTCCAGATTAGCCTCTCTTAAAGGAAAGGAAAGAAAAAAGAAGAAAACTGCGAGATTAATTCAAATCTCCAGATGAACTGTGTTTTAAACGGAAAGAGGCAGGCAGAATCCAGTGCCTGTGCACTGCGCCCATGATGAAAACTTCGCAGGCCCTCGGAGCTCTGAAGACAGACCCCAGGGTACTCCCGGGACCGCTCTCTTCAGGGCCCCGGCGGGGGTCGGATAGCGGTGCTGGCCCCGCCGCTGCCCGGGGCTCCTGGGCCTGGCAGCTGCGGGGCCTGGGCTGAGCCGTCAGCAGCAGTTTGGGGAAAAGTAGTGAGGTCGGAGCCGACCCGCCTAAACCCCGCGAGTCCCTAATTGTTGTCACAAGACACAGGATTATCGCATTGCTGGAATAGCTGCCTGTTTACACTCCGGAGCCCCGCCGGCCGGTAAACACTTTCTAATTGAATTCTAATCACATTCAAATAGCTCCATAACCAGCCTCAGCTGCAATTCATAAAACTTTAATTGCCACTCATAAATCCTCAGATCGCCGAGTGCGGAGTGTCCCTAAAACCCTGTTGCATCGTATTCGGTCACGGAGGTGGTGAGGGGAGGCAAGCAGGGCTGGAGAACGGGACAGCAGGCGAAAGCCGGCCCTTCTTAGCAAGGCTCGACTTATACTGCTGAGCCTCGTTGGTCCCGGGGGCGAGGAAGCGCCTTCTCCAACAGCAGTTTTACTTTGCTGGGGTTTCACAGAGGGCGAGTGGGTGTGCGGGAGGGCTGGTGGGATGTCCGGCGCCCGGCCCGGCTCTGGGGCCCAATAACCGCCTCTAGGCACGTTACGGCCATTCATTCACTCCCCGGCCTCTGCTCAGCCCCTGCTAATCAGGCGTAGTCTGTGTTTTCTGCTTTAGAGCACAATTGTCACTTCCCTTTCCCGATTCAAGCGGGATGAGATCCGCAGTCCGTTTTAAACGCCGCTTCGCATCTGCCAAACGAGAAGGCGATCGCCCTTCCATTAATGGTCTCTTCTTAAACTTCCATAAAACAGGTCATTGGAAAATCGTGTAATATGCTGTGAACACCTTGGCTTTTTAATGCAATCTGAAATGCTTCGGAGCCACCGACCGTATTTAACTGTTTATCCAATTTTACTTTGACTGTTTGCTTCAGCAGACTTGGTGGAGATCAAAGAACACACCACCCCCACCTCCCCGACACGTTCTCTTTCATTAGCGCTGCGCGTTACGGTCCTGAAGCAATCCGGGGAGCTCACTTGGAAGTTTTCCGTTTTGATACCGTTTGGCTGAGAAATGTCCAGATATTTGAAGGCTTTGTCCGTTGGAGTAATTGCCAATTTGGCAAGATTCACTGGGGGTGAAAAGGGCGAGGAGGAAAAAAAGCCAACCACCAAACCGCACGCGGTGCACATATGTGTGCACAGACACACACACCCGCGCGATCTTTAACTTTATATCTATGTCTGTATTTCTGCCTTCCTGAAGGAGTCCTGCGCACAAGGTGGAGATCGGGCTGGGGAAAGGTGTTGGTCCGCGGGAGTCATGGCTCTTTGGATGACAGTTTACGAGGGGAGACGGGAGGGCGGGCGACGTTAAGGCGCTTGTTACAGCGCATCACCTGCTCCCCTTTCTCCTTCCCTCCCTGCGGGGGAAGCCCAGAGCAGAACCTCCCCGACTGATTTTACACACCCCCTCTGGGTGTGTTGACAGGGGGATGTGCCAGTAAGCAGGATGTGTGTCGGGGCCGCGGCGCAACCCGGGTAGCCCCCCCCTCCCCGGTTTCCCTGCTCCTATAACTTATCCGAGGCGGAGGCGAGGGACTGAAGTCATCGGGCAGCGAGGGAGCACGCACACTTTGCCCCCCCCCCCGAGCCTTGTCCCCCTTCCCCCCCGCCCCCCGGCAGCCTCTCTTGCCGGCCTGGGAAGCCGGGGAGATTTAGATCTGCGAGGCTTTCAGCCATCACGTGTTTAAATAGTTGATATAAAACCCCGGCACAGGGGATCCAGGCGGGGGGACTTTAAGACCAGCCCTCTCCAGGGACCCTTTTGTTCAGCTCTCAAACATAAGCACCTTCTCGCCTCGCCAGGACTTCAGTGGCAACTTGGCCAAGCAGGAAAAGCCCGGCTTCGGGAGAGAGCCTCCCCGGCTGCGGCGGCAGCCCTGCGAAATGTCCCGCTCTTTCTATGTCGACTCCTTAATCATCAAAGACTCCTCGAGGCCGGCTCCGTCCCTGCCTGAACACCACCACAGCCAGGACTTCTTCATCCCTCTCAGCATGCCTTCTCCCCTCGTCATGTCGGTGTCGGGCCCGGGCTGCCCGTCCCGCAAGAGCGGCGCTTTCTGTGTCTGCCCTCTCTGTGTCACCTCGCACCTGCACTCCTCCCGCCCTGCCGCCGCCGCCGGGGCCGTCCCACTCATCAAGAGCCAGTTCCCCGCCGCCGCCTCCAGCGAGGCCCAGTGTTGCCCGCGGGCCGGCCACGCTCACCACCCGCCGCAGCACCCGCCGCCCGCCGCCTCCGGGCCCGCCGCCGCCGCCGCCCTGGGGCACCCGGCGCATCACCCACCTGCTTGCGCCGCCACCGCCTACAGCGTCAGCGACCCCCGGAGGTTTCACTGCCTCGGCATGGGTAGGAGCCCTGCGGCCGCCGGGGAGGGGAGGGCAGCGGGAGAAGGGATTTCCCGGGGAGAGCGGCTGCCCCGGGGCGGAAAGCTGCGGGACCATGTCTTTTCTGTCTTCTTTTTCGCCTCCTTTCCTCCATCCCACTGAAGTTCGTGCTTTTCTCCCATGCAGGAGCGTCCGATTCCAGCCAAATTCAAAATGGAAAAAGGATGAGGACAGCTTTCACCAGCACCCAGCTCTTGGAGCTGGAGAGGGAATTCTCCTCTAACATGTACCTGTCCCGGCTGCGGAGGATCGAGATAGCCACCTACCTGAACCTGTCAGAGAAGCAAGTGAAAATCTGGTTCCAAAACCGGAGGGTGAAGCACAAGAAAGAAGGCAAAGGTACTCAGCGAAACTCGCATGGGGGCTGCAAGTGCAGCACCAGCCAGGGGCATTACCCCAGGTCTGAAGACGAAGAATCTCTGTCCCCCTCATCGGCAACCGAGGATAAAGAGATCTCCCCGTTATGAGCCCGGCCCGGAGCTCTGCTCCCGTTGCCGGGTCCCAGCCCGGAGCAGGCGGAGACACCGCGGCTCACCTGGAGCCCGCGCACCGGTGACAGCAGCCCGCCGCCCGGGAGCGGTCTGACCCTCCCAGCCGGGAGGCTCCTTTACATCCCTTTGCAGTCATAGAGATATATATATATAAATATATTTTTTGAATGTAAATGGTTAGTCGTGAGAGTTCAACTAAAACGTAATTTAAGTAACCCCAGGAGCGGGCACCTGCTCTTCCTAACAGGTACCTCGGGACTGGACTCGCACGGCCCCGGGGTGCCGCCCTCCCCCCTGCCCCAGGCAAGTTAAAGGAGAACACTTAAAAACAAAGTATTTGGAACAGAAAGACGAGACGTTAAAAAACTGAAAAGCAAACAAAAACCTGTAGGGCTGAGAACCTCCTGGACGGACTTCTGACCGAAAATGAAAACAGAAGTAAAGATCAGTCGTTTGTGTTTGGGACGGCGGTTTGTTCGTGAATAGTTTTATATAAAATTTATATTTATATTTATTTAAATAAATGAGATCAGACGAGAATTGGGTGTTTTTTCTTCTCCTGCCCCTCTCCCCCCAAGTGCCAGCCTGGTCCGAGCAGCGAAGGTGGGCTGGCTGGGCAGGGTGCGTTTCTTCGCAGTCCTTTGTACGGTGAAAACACAAGTGTGTATGTGTCAGACCTCCGAAAAGATTAGAAATAAACGCCATCGGCTACTAACCTGAGTACATTTGCTGCTCCCCTGTGACTCGGGCTGGCCGGGGGCGGAGGGAGGGGGACGGGGACCCGGCTCCGGAATGCAAATGAAGCCGCTTTTCGGAGCCCTGCAGCTTTGTGCTCGCTGCCAGCCGGAGCCAGTGCCCGCCCTCGCCCTGCCGACAGCTTTCCCCCGGCTGCTAGCCCGGCGACACCGGCTGCCCCTGGCCCAGGACTGCCGCTGGCAGCAGCGGGCGAGGGACGAGGGGCTGCGCCCCGGGAACCCCCCCGCTCTGCTGCCCGGCGCGGTTGCCCCGGCTAGTACCACCCGAGTCTTTCCCATCCAGGGGCTGCTGCACACATTAGCCCTTTGCCAGGCTGAAACTCCGGTTATGTTGTATGGGGTGATGTTAATCAGAAATCTGTGTTTATTTATTTATTAATCCCCTCAGACGGCGGGACCTTATCCAGTCTTCTCGGTGTTGATTTAATTTAGGTGCCTTGGCCAGGCCCAGTGAGCAGATCAAGCCTGCTCGTGGGGTCAGGCCAAGCCAGGCTGAAGGGCTCTGCAGCTTCTGCAGCCTGTGCTGGACAGTGTCCAGTCACAGGCCCCATCCATTCTGCCTCTGCCTTGGGCTGTCCATGCTGAGCTCCTTGCAGGGGGCTGGTGCAGAGTGCGGTGAAACTGGAGCTGGTGAGTACCAAATGAGCCTCTTTGTAACTTTTTCGCTAGTTTCTGCAGTCCTGGCAGAAGAGCACATGAGCAGATCGCAAGTGCCTTTTGCACACAGTTATTTCCCACTCGCACCTTTTCCTTGGGTGGATCTCCCACTCACCCAATGTACACTTTTGACTTCAGCCCCTGAAACTGTTGCAGGACTTTTCAGTATATAATTCCCTGAACAATCCCTAAATTTCTCATCTTTGATAAATAACCTCGGAGCTCCTCTCTCCAATTTCACTTTCCTGATCTGCTTCTAATCAGAAAACAAGTAATAGACCCACTTGGGATTTCTGCTGCAGTGTGAATAACCCAAGCAGCCTGATTGCTGCAGAGGGGGAGAGAGATGAAGCCCTAGCACAGTGGCACCCTCGCTGCTTGCTCGTCTTGGAGGAGTGGTTTCATGCATAGGCAGGTCTGGGGTGGGATGAAAAAGGCCTGGTGTGAGCACTGCCCTACAGCCCGGACCAGCTGCAGGGCCTGTGGCAGAGGGAGTCCAGCATGCCCACAGTGCAGCTGCTTAACCCAAGTAGCAGTCCCCTTACTTGCAGGCTAGGGAGACCCAAGGGCCAAAGGCTTGTGGTCCTCATAGCCACCTCCCAAGGGGCCTTATGGAGGACCTGCCTGAGGGGGCTGCCTCTTCTTACCCTAAAATCTGCTGAGGTGAGCTCCAGAAACTGCCGTTCCTCAGCTTCAGTTCACTGTGTCTAGCTTGCGTCTACAATCCCACCTGGTCTTTTACAACCTAGAAGATCTAGGAGGAAAAGACCCTGTCACCCTCTTGGCAGATCATCCCCATCCTGTAACATGTGGGAATCAACAGACCAGCATCAGTCTGGGAAGGCATTGCTTTGCTGGGGGAGAAATGTCATCACATATAAGCTATACCGTCGAAACAGCTGCTGTCATCAACAGATTTTTTTTTTTATCTCGAAGTAAATGTTTCATGTTAAAAATTTTGGAAAAGGGAGTGCAACAGTTTGCCCTAATACATCTCAGAAGACCAGTACAACCAGCTTGGCCTGAACCTAGCACTGGGGTACTCAAGCCATTGTGATGGGAGCACTGCTGGAAGTTGTATGTACCCTAACTTGCAGTAAAAGTATTGTAGGGTTTCAAAGTCCAGCAGTCAACACTTAGAAATCTAGTTAAATTGACATTATAATGCATCAGGTTTGTTTTGCTTCTTCTTTCTGATCTTTATTTTCTCCCACAAAGTGTGAAGTACAGGTTTTCCACCAGCTCATTCGGTGCCCAAGATAGGCAGTGTGCAGCTCCCTATTTAATATTCATCTTATCTTTAGTTTTCTAAGAAAATAAAGATTATGCTGTCGCTCTGCTTACCTGTCTGCCGCTTGCCTTCATTCCCTCCTAGCTCAAACAGGTTGATACCAACCAGCAGGCTGACATGATAGCTATGTGAGAGTCTCCAAGATGGTGTTTTCCTAACAGTTCTGCAGATCTCAACAGCGAGCTGAGGGGGAGACACCCGGGAGAGACCTTAGCTCCCACCATCCCGTCTGGCAGAAATCAAGTAACCCATATTTGGGGGGGCAGGGGGATGTCTTTTGCCCAACAGCCTGCTGGGGAACAGGTGATGTCAGGGGAACGAGGTGATGTCATGGAGGCAGGCCTTGAGGCAGAGGGTATGGTCAGCGACAGGGCTGGGAACAGAAGCTATAGAGGAGGCTGAAGGGCCTGGGGACATGGGACAGCACCCAGCATCTGCACCCAGTTTTTCCCCCGCTGTGATCTCAAGTCTCCTTAGTTGCAAGTGCAGCTAATAAGAAGTTGCCCTTTTATTTTTCTTTGGTACTTGTCACGATGATGTCTGAGAGCTGGGAAACATGACTACGTTTGTCTTTATGGCTCCCGTGGGAGCAATAAATTCGCTTCTCTTCAGAGGTCGAGAGTGAAGCTTTGGAGAGGTCCAGCTCGCCGCTGTGGTGTTGCACTTACAGCATGAGGCTCCATGCAACTTACCAACCTTATTCCTGTTCTTAGCACGGGTGTACTCCAGATGCGGTTACCGCACTTATTTTGGACATGCTGCTCTCCGGGCAGTTAGAGGAAGAGGAAGGAGCCCGTTCCGGTTTGCTGCCACCGCTCTGCTTGGCGTAACTCGGAGGCGGAGGAGCTGCCTGCTCCCCAAGTGGTGGTTCCTGTGCGTGTCCCGGGTGGCTTTCAGATCTGGGAAGGTCCCAAAGGCGAGGCCCGGCTGCTCCCCGGCCGGGAAGCAGCAGGGGGAAGGGAAGTCGAGCGACTAAAGTGCGTTTACACGAGGGATACGAGTTATGGCTGTGTGAGTGACCCCTCTACCGACCTTCTGTAACCTTTCGGGGCTTAAATGAACAACGCTAGCATTCTTTCAACGAAGTTCCCCCCTGCCCCCTTTGGGTATTTATTTGCTTCCTTTAATTCGACGTAACTCCTAATTACAAAACTCGGAGGAAGAAAACATCCGTCCTGAAGAGTCTCCCTGACCCCGATCTGCACAGCAGAGATGAGATCCACACCACCGAGGTCTCCGATCGCGAAACCCCTGCTACCGTGCTTGGATCAGACCTGATCGCCCGGCTGCTCTCTCCAGACCTGCCTGGAGCACCCCCCCGGGCGTTGTTGAAACCTTTCCCCGCTATCGGAGCTCTTGACGCAACGCCCATCAGCGGCGTCTCGCACCTCCGTCCCGGACTTCGGGGAGCGCAGCCCTTGGTGACAGCTCTCTGGCCGGGGGCACCGTGCAGGGACACGTCCCGCGCCCGTGCCTCGGGGACCGCCAGACCGAGGGGCTTAGCGGTCCCGGCCGAAACAGTCAGGCAGGGCCCGAGAGCTCACGGCAGGTGGGCTCCCGGCGCGAGGACCTGGAGATAGAGGCCAGGGGACTGAGGGAAACCCTCGTTCCCCAGTAGCTCCGGGTTTGGAGCTGGGAAAGCGAGGGGACAATGTAATTCCCCCTCATTCATCTCTAGTTTGTCTTAATTTCCTGCCCCCTCCCTCCCCCCGACCCGTCCCGGACCTTGCCCAGCCGTTACCCTTCGGCTCGACTGCTGTCCGAGGCTCTTTCCTCCCCCTTACACAGTTCAGCCACGGCCCACTCGTACCCATTGGGATAAGGCAGCCAGAATGGAGAGAGCCCAGTTGCAGCCTCCCCGGGTGCATCCTGCCACCAGCCCGGGGGGCGCAGCGCTCCGTTCCTGGACAGGGGCCTGCAGGTGAAACAAGCCCGGCCCCAAATTATTGTTGCTACTACTATTATTATTAATTATTATTATTATCCGCGGCTGCTCGGCTACTTTTAAGGCCGAGCCTTTGCGCACCTCTGGGGTTTCGCTGGGAGAAAGGTGGCGGGTTTTGGTGGGAGAAAGGTGGCGGGTTTTGGTGGGAGAAGCCCCGGGGGGGTTTGCAGCCCCCGGACACGGGCAGAAAGCCGTGCTCAGGGCAGCTGCTGGGGAGCTCGACATGGCTCCGCGTCCCTCTCCGCGCCTTCCAGCCGGCCCCTCCGCGCCTCCCCCTGCCCGGCCCCATCCCGCGCCTCCGGCGGGCTCTGAGCCTTTGGGAGCGAACCCAAAGCGATGAGAAGCGTGTGCTGTGTGTGCTCTGGAAAAATAACGAGTTTCAGATTAATGAAGGGGTGACAATTTCAAGGCTAACGTTGGCACTGCCCAGGCCAGAGCGTGGGGAGCTCGCCAGGCTTTGCTGTATATTGTCCACTTTTCTGAAGAGCAGACAAAGATGGATAGAGAGACATTGAAAAGCAGGAGGCGTATTTCAAACGGTTCAATAAAGAGGGTTGTCACTTAAAGACAAGAACCATAGTGCTTTGATGACTTTGTATTAGCCTCACCGTTTCAAATAAGTGACTCTAC